AGGAAAGGGAGTACCAACAACAACAACAATGATGGTAACAACAGCAAAAAAAAAAAAAAAAAACGAGATCGGCAGTAGCGGCAACCACTGCTGCAGCTTCAGTTGAGCGCAGCGTGTTTATTATGCTAACAGCCATAACGAGGCAACCGTATAACGGCGACGTGCCACATGAGTCTGTGGGGAGAGTTCTCTGGTACCAGCGGATGGCAAAGAGCAGCGTGTTTGGCGCTGGGTCGTGGGCCGACGCGGCCGCCCTGCCGCCTCGACAATTGAAGTCGCATGTTCGACGCTTTTCGCATGCAAAAAGAACCAAAGGCAACGACACCCACACATGCATACCCTCCAGTGAAGAGGCTTAGCTTCGGCAAAAAAGCTCAGAAAAGTGTATAATAAAAACCATTTAAATTAAATAAATAAAACACAATTGAAAGGTGAAATTGTTTTATTATTTTTGTCAAAATAGAGAGAAGTGGAAGCGAAATAAGTTGGGTGGTTGGTCAGTGGCTTACCAGCTTTGGTCCGCAAACTTCCAAGAAAATTGGATGAAAAGTGATTGTGATGATGAAATGAAGGAAACAGAACAAACTGGAAGAACTCGCCTGTACTTACTATGAATGCTACCGGGGCTGGCCTCTGCAGAACTGCAGGGTATTTAAACACCCACACATTCGTGAAAGTGCAGAGGTGGTTCGCATGTCAGGGTTCCATTTTGCGTTGCCCGTGTCGTGTTTGACGGGTAACTTGTCTTGTTATATGTACATACATATATATGTACTGCATGTTCAAATGAACATGTGCATATGTGTATGTTTAAGGGTTTGTATGTATGTTTTGTAACCATTTGTGAAGGGTTACACAAAACATGGTGACTGCCAGCAAAAAATAATTGACATCAAAGTGATGTGTGGATTTCTCAGAGAAGGTGTCTCGCAAAAAACAGAAACTTTGTTTATTAACACAGCATGAAATGCAAAAAATCTGCGCAAGCTCTCTGTCGGAAAACCACTGAAGCATGCAATCAATCAGATCTGTAACAAACTAACTGAGGTTATGGCTGTAATATTGAGTGCACTACCAATTGAATAAAAGCGGGTTACTTGGGCACTAAAAGGTCACAGTATAAATGGAACGAGAGGTGTTATTGCATATTCAGAATTCATTTAGGTGCTAGGTTGAAATGAAATAAATTGCTATTGACTTAAAGGATTGTAGGAGTTCTGGAATACGATCTCCAGTCGTTTATTGAGTTTATTATACAACAATTGAGTTTATACCTCAATTGTGGATGGTCAGCTGTTTCCCGATTCCCTATTAAATACAATCAGTACTTTACGAATGAAAGGAATTCAAAAACCAATTTAAAAAAAACCATTATAAATATTTTGAATATATGTATATACTAGTGTAGGGCGAGCTGTTCACCAACGTATGCATTAGCTTCTTCAGAATTCGTACCAAAAACATCTCATCCAAATGTAGTATATCTGGAGGAGTCTCTCATTTGCATTGAGACCGACATGTACTTAGAAGAGATTACATCGAGTTTGCATTAATCATTCTAATGCTGAAATAGGTTTAAATAAAGAGAGAGCTCAGCGAGATTCAACTTCCTTATCGTCCTTCTGCAAACTGCATTTAGCATATCTGCAGGCCACGCTTGCCATGCAAACGCAGAAACAAAACAAAGCAGATCCTGCAACGGCAACTAAGCTAAAAGTAGAATATTCACCAAGAAGATAGGCGAAGAGGGAATACCAGCAAAAGCAACAGCAACAGCAACAACTACATACATACAAGGGCATTAGCTTGTAACGCTGGCCTAACAAGGCAGGCAACTAAAAGACAGATGTGGAGAGAAGAGCGAGGAGGAGAAAAGCAAAACATAGCAGCAAGGACTGGCAAAATGTAGCGCTGATATGATTACGTTGTACACAGCCAGTGAGCAGAAGTTTTCGAGGGCTAAGAATCGCTGCCAACACCTATGCGCAAGGCATATGTCCTTGCACTGAGAGAAAACGGGAAAAGTAAACTAAACGTACGAATACGGAATTATATTTTATGCTGTCTCTATTCTTTTTTAGGTTAGTTTTTTTTGTATATTTTTAAGACTTTTATTTGGAATGATAATTAAAGAAAAAGGCCGCTCTTCGCCGTTTTAATCTACGAGCAAAGGGAGGCTATTAGCGTGCACCCAAATTAATTAAATTAGAACCATTCCAGAAGTCTAAAAAAAAAACATCGTTTTCGCTGAGAGATGCTGTTGCTTTCGATATAAGTGAAAAGGACTGACATTATTATGTACTTTAGAAGTTCAAATAAGTTCTAAGCAAATTATTTTCTTTCCACACCATACTACAATTTTGTTCAAAGACTTTCTCCAATATTACCAAATAAAATTGAGATTAATATCCGACATTAATTAATTAGTTCATAAAAATCCTCGCATTTTTCAAAGCCGAATCGATATTTTAAAATGCAGTAATTTTTCTCTGAGTGGAGGTGTGTTTGGCTAAATACGCCAACATGCACAAGACTTACTATCACCATTTTCCCACTCCTATGCACATTCCCATTCCCATTTCCAGCTCCATCCACACCTCGACAGATGCCACCATGCTCCCAGACATTGTCTAACATTTATGACTAACGTTATTTGGAATTCGACACGTAGCGGCTGCTGCGCACGTAGAGCGTAGAAGAAGGCAAGGCTGGTATTTGAGAGCTGGTTGGAGGACAGGTTTATAGTTGTTGCTGTTATTTTCGTTGCTGGTGTTGCTGTTGTTGTCAATGTGGAGCGTGTGCAGATTTTGACACGTTGTTTTGGCAATGCGTAAGCGAGGGCGCCAAGGAGCAATGCTGGTAATTGTAGTGTAATGCTCAGGACTAAACAGCACTTAGATGGCTGTTAATATCCGTACGTGTTGGAGTATTACACAACACTGTCTCTGTGTTGGCAATCGGAGTATAGAGGGTTGACAGAAATGCCACGTTGAAAAAAAAATGTATGAGATTATTGGGAACCGCACATCGAATGTTATTGCATAAAGCGTGACCCAAAGCTCAAATGAATACTGAGAACCGATTAGAGAATCATAAAAGCATTGCATATCGTAGATACCGAATACAGAGTGTGGATAAACGCAATACGAGTATAAATGAAATGCGCAGCACGCTTCCTAGCCTTTGATAAGTTTAAGATAAGGAGTGCGTGGGTGCGGAACATTAACATGGGTTCGTTTTTCATACATTGTTCTATATTTGGTGATTTTTGTATACCTTATCTATATAATGACCTAACTGATTGAATTATTCATGATCGGTCAACATAAGATACTGTGCTTAGCTTAAAACTGGAGTGCTTTAAGACTGTTGAAACAAATATATAATTTAATATCTTCATATTTGCGAGAGGGTAGAGGGTGAATATTCAACGCGCTTTGATTCTATTTATGAAATCTTACTCTTTTTCTTTTATTTTCTTTTCTTTTCATTAACTGATATAGATATCAAAATAGTTTCTAAACCGGACTCATTCTGTACAACCCATTGCATTTATTTGTTGTATATAACAAGGGTTACAGTAAATAGACAACTAAGTAGTTGAATAATTGAAGTTCCCATGCGAGTTAATTATTGGGAAATCGATTCATTTTGCCTCGCTTCGCTTCGCGCGGGGAAATTGCTGTGTGTTGAGTGTGGGGGTATATCTTTTTTTTTTACAAATATAGCTTGAATTTAAAGTTGCGAAGTACTTGTACGTTCTATTTATTACGCTTTGTCTGCATTGACTGGTCCTTGTGCAGTATTCCATCAGTCATTGTACCTTTATTCTTCTCCTTTGGCTTAGCACTGTTGTCTCCGGAGCGTTTGTCGGCCTCCCGTTCGATATTTACAGCTTGCTCATTTTTATTTGCTTTGCCTCCGTCGTACCAGTTGCGAACTCTGTTAACCAACTTGAAGCATAGGATGAATAGTATCGGATAGAGAAGTGGAAAGAGGTAGCAGGGTATGCAAATCATTTCGTTTGTGAAAGTTTCTTTTCCAATAAAAGTTTATTTGATTTGTTTAACACGAATTTGAACTGATCTGTGCTGGTTGAGGTTAACAACTGAATGAAGTCACACAATTTGCAAATGTAACAGATTGAACCTAGACGCAAAGCCTACTGTGTTGCAATTACTGGGCTCCTTATTTTAGTTCTTTTTGGGGGCCTGGCATAACTCTACGAGCTTGAAGGAATCCCACAAGGTGAGGTTGTTCCTGAGCAGGCACTGGATTCGAATCAACCATCACCACAGGAGCATGATACAAATTTCTATGTTATCATAAAATTTAATAATTGTCCAACCTTGGACAGATCTTAAATAAAGGTTACAGATTTTAAAAAATAATTTATTCGCTTCGATAATATTGCTTACAAGTATATTCTGTACTATAAAAGTCAATTTTTTATTCAGCATTTGATTCATTTTATAATTATAATTATCAATGATATTTATTCTTTATGCATTTTTGACACGTTTGTGAAACTCTTTTGCAAAATGCTGGCAAAAAAAATTATTTTTTCCATTTGGTATATTTGTTTGTGATTTGTTGCAACATTTTATATTCCCATATTCCCACATTATAGCTTCCCAATTATTGCCTACATTCAACATAATTTTTCCATATTTTAACATAATTTTAAGGCTAACATTTTGATTCGCACATTGTACAGTGAACGTTTGAGTGAAAGCGCAGATTAACATTTCGTTTTTTGTGGAATGCATTATTTTCAAATCCTTTTTTGCCATTTTAAATAGAAACTGGTAGACATTTACATACAAGTATATACATTTCATTGCTATTCGCAATTCGTTTCTAGCTAATGTTCAGCTTTAACTTCATATCGAAAATTGCAATTCCTTAGCGGCTATCGTTTTATCATTACCGATTGCAACGTCCAAAAAATATTCTATCTGTCAAAAATATTCCCTGAACAATTTATAAAACGCTTCGAATTTTTATGCATTCGCATTTATTTGTATAAGGAGAATCCTCCCTTAGTCCTTCTGACTATTAGACTTATAACATTATCATTGAACAGGTGGTAAGAGCGTGGCTATAATTCCAGTCGGGTGGCATGTGAGAATTTGTGCCTCCCTTATTTCGGGTCTCGGCTCCTTGTTGTTCTTTGCTTGTGGTGTGCATAAGGCCGCCGGTGCATTTCACATTTAGTCTATTGCTACGGCGGCCATTTGAGTCAAATGTCAGTCACCTATAGCAGAATCTGTTGGGAAAAAGACAAAATATGCGTTACTTGAAAAATTCGAAATTAGGTTACAAAATTACGAACCATTTCAATTATATTTTTGTTGGAGAGGATCTGAGCTGACAGGCGGCTGATAAAAGACTGCACTGAGTATGAAAAGATTTGAAAGGCCTGGGTAGAACTTCAAAGCAAAGCCTACTGCTATATATTATTTTAAATACGCAAGGCCAGCCATGACCGGTCAAAATGCCAATCGATTTTCTATTCCCTGCCCCTGGCATATCAATCAAATTAAATCTGTGTTGTTTGCCTGCGGGCCATCAATCATGCCACTGTCCAGCACAAAACTTTCCACTACACCCCACCTCCTTTATAATTTAAGCAAAATAAATCATTTAAATTAATTCCATGCTGGACATGAGAAAATGCGTTACAATCAATAAACAAGTACACAAATAAATTTAAAGCTTACATATGTCTACAGCAACGGACAAAAATACTTTGAAAAAATTGCGTTTGCACTTTAAAGTTGAACAAAAAGCTTTTAAATTGGAAATTTTTAATGCAGAAACATGCGCCCGCTGGGACAATAAAAGCGAACAGGCATGAAAAACTCAAATGCAGACAATGGAGAAATGTGAAGGGCGCGCAAAACTAAATAAAGGCGGAAACTCGCCATAAAAGGAAGTCGCGCATATTGGTCATTAATAAAATTTTTTTATCAACACTCGAATAATACGTAGGAGCAATACAAAAAGCAAATATTGATAAAAAGAAAAATCGTTATTGTGGAAAAAAAACTTTAATATAGAAGGACATAAAAGCGATCCGGGCGCATAAATTCAATAAATAAGCAGAAATGTGTGTGAAAAAACAACAATAAAAGTCACACCAGCATCGCTGCCGGCGTGTATTATTGAGGATGTGCGTGAACTCTTGGAAAAATGCGAATGTCTCCAACAAACAAACAAACAATAAAAATAGCAAGAATGAACTTCAATTTCCCAGAAAATGTCTTCGGGATAAGAAAAAAAGTCTTGAAGACATATGAGATTTAATTTAGCAAAATGTTTACCAAAATAAGGCTGGTCATATATTCAAAAAACTAGTTACGTTAATGAAAATAAATTGAAAAGGATTCAGGGCATTCAATTTCACAATTGACAACGAATGGTAGAAATGAAAATATGTAGTAGAAATCTGCATTCGCACGACTTATAGATCTCAGGTGGAACAACCGTATTTCGGTTCCTAGGCGGCCATGTTGAACGGTTTGGCAACTGATTCGAACTTTCTATTGAATTGCTGTATTTCTGACTCCAATATCAACTAATTGTAAATGTTTACAGTCTATAACACTATATGCTTTAAAAATGTGTTGTTGTCACGCACGCATTCCTAATGCGAATCTCTGTAGGTGCGTGCACGTGTATGCTAACGCGTGTGCGATTTCGAGTCAATTGTGTCGTTATTTATCAGTCAGCACAAATGGGAGCAACAAAAGTAACATGAACGGTAACGGTAACAGCAACAGCAACAACAACAGAACAAGCAACATCGTCCAGGACAGCAAACGGCGCTTGCTTTGCGATTCACTTCACTTTTTCTGTTGCCTGCTTTTAGGCGTCGCGTGTACGCGTGTTGTGAAAAGTGTTATAATAATGTGTCATAAATGAATGCCATCGTGAGTGTGAGTACGAGCGTGAGCGGATGAGTGTGTGGGTAAGTGTGTGCCTGTGTTTTATTTGTATATTGTATGCTGTATGTTGTTAAAAGCAACGTAATTGTTGCCATCGTCTGTTGTTCATTACATGCGCATTGTAAATAAGCAAAGTGGTTATTTTTTCAGGCTTTGTGGGTTTGCGGTTGTTGCGCTTTATTGTTGTGATTATGGTCGAGCATATGAAATAAATTAAAGTCCTTGAAATTTAACTTTTATTCGCTTTTGTAATCACTGTGTGAGACATTTTATGAATCACCCATATCTCTTTTAATTATTTTGCCAGATAAATGTAAAGGGAGCTGCCAAAAAAATAAATGGAATCGTAAAAGCTGAGGTGAGTCTTGACAAACAGAAAGTTTTTTTTTCACAGAGTTAAGACTATTACATTAAAAGAAGATAAGCTTTAAAGCATTTAATAAATAAAGTGTACAAGCTGACTTAATTTCTACTGAAGAACTAATCTAAGGAAATATAAGAGAATATCTGCCAATCTTCAATTCAAATATTATGTTATTTTCGAATTGTTTTCAACTCTGTATTCGCCGCAAAGAGAATCTATGCGATACATGTAATATTTTGATTATGAAGCCTTTCAGCCACATTTAAATTAGCAGCACAATTGGAAATGTGAGCAAATGTATCATAATTGTTGATGCATGACAGAAACTTACACTGCATGTAAAATTGTACAAATATAATACACAAATATGCAAATTACCGTATACACAATAATAATGGAACTGCAACCTTGGCTTACGTTCTGCATGGCCTTGCTATAGTTTATTTTCATTGAGGAAAACTCAATTAACATAATAAATGTACAAATTCTAAGCCCATATGTGTATGGCGTGTGCATTGGTTACAAAATTTCACTTGAATTTGTGCAAGACTCTCAGTAAACAGTTTCATAAGCCCAAATTATGAAGATACAGCATGTAATAAGACGAAGTGTGTGTGTTTGACATACGACCTCAGCAGGAGGCTTAAGCTAAGATTTTAGGCTGATTATAACACCAGAAACTTGTTTAAATAAAGCCTAATGATGTGTAACTGAATATTATCCTAATTACGAAAGTTTTGTTAATACAAGTATATTGGTTGATGGCAAATACAATGAACGTTGAAGTTTTACCTTAGTTTCAATTTAAAAATAGGAGAAATTTAAATACAAGATTTTTGAAAATGATCATCAATTTTATTTAATCGCAATTTGATGAAGAGTCCATTATATTTAAAGTCTACCTTTTATTATATATTTATATAATTTTGAGTATAATTTTCGCTTGGAAAAAGTAAACATTAAGTTATAAAAGTGGAAATATTTATGTAATGGAAACAGTTGACATTTTTAAACTATTCATATTAAGCCAACAAAATTAATACTATCCCTTAAACTTTATGCGCTATTATTTAGTTTGGTGGTTAGTTGTCAGAGTTCTCGATGTTATCTTTTGTCGCTTTAATGTTTACATATTTCGTAGAAGCTTAACCCTCAAACTATATGCTGTGGCTGACGTAAAATCTATCAGAAATATTAGATTTCTCTATTTTGCTCAATTTGTAGTGATTTCACAAACTAAAATTTTTTATGAAATCTTTATTAATTTTTAAAGCAACAGCATAATGAAAGCATACCAGCTCGTACATCCTCACCTCTCCTAGTACACCCTTTCTTGCATACAATTATAGCAACAGTGGCGTATGAGTGATGTGGCATGAAATTTATATACGCGTATGTAACTCATCCGTCATGTCTGGCGGCAAAAAGATACATTTGCGTTCCTTTGGCAGCATGTGTGTGGGCGACAAACAGCTGCCATAGTAGCAGCAGCAGCAGCTTAATGATTTTTGTGGCTGCCTCATGCGCTTCTGCTGGTGTTGCACTTAAGTTGCAGTTTTTGCCGCTGTGTGGCTGGGGAGCGAGCGTTTGTGTTGCGTTAATGGCGATCAGTGCGACAACATCTGGGCATCCACCCACGTGCACGCCCATCCCACCCACTCACACGCTCATTTGGCTGCCGGGCAACAAATTCAAAGTCATTAGTCGTTGTCGTCACCATCGTTGTAGCCGTTGTCATCAACGCCGTCCGCGTCGTCATCGTCGTCATCGTCGTCATCGTCGTCGTCTGCTTCATGAAAAAGGGATTGCAACTAAATTACAACGCCTGCAAAAAGGCATTATATGAGATTAGAGCTTGCACGCCACCAAAACCTGAAGCCAAAATCCTACTTTAACAGCGCCAAGCGGCCGCACATGGTCGTCGGAACTCAGTCTAGTGCACACACACACACACACATACACACACAAGCACATACACATACACATACCACACTTTCACTGACAGGAAACCGCGTCATTGTCGACATTTGCAACAGACCCATGGTCGTCACGAAATACGAACAACGAACGAAACGTGTTGGCGCTTACGCTTTTTTGGGGCATTGAAAAACCACAACAACTGCAACAACTGAACGAACAGTTGAAAAACAATGAAACAATTTATATATTTCATCTAGGATTTAAGTCAAAGTTCTTAAGTAAATATTAATCTAGGATTTAATTTAAAGTGTTTAAGAATATATTCCAACAATTAATTGTCCACTTCTAAAAAGGAGCTCAAGAGCATGAATAAACTCAGCTCCCGTTCTTCGAGTGTTCTTATTTACAAAATTAAATGAATTTGAAGATTTTGAAGTGGATTTTTTTTACCATTCTTATTTCAAATCCGCACTTTATATCAGTATGTAATATTTTTTAAAATTGTATTAAAAACGTTTTCTTCGTATCCATTTTTATTAAAGCCTTTTACATTAAATTATTAAATTATTTAAAATGATAAGTTATGCGATGAATGAAGCCAGAGTTTCTTTAATGATTTTTGTTATTGTATTATTTATTTTGTTATTTTCCTTCAGCACTCTCTAGAGCGTACATATTTATTCATATTCTTGAGTTAATCTTCTTTAGCTGCGACTGAAAGCTTACTTAAACATTTAAATTTATTAATCAATAAAATTAACTTTCATTTCATCAGTGTAACTTAAGTTTGGCAGTGAGAACAGACATCAAGTTTCCAAGGAAAATAATCGTGCCTTAGACAAAATTCCCTGAATTTGAATATTATTTGCTTCTATTGAATTCGATAGAATTGATGGCCAATTAATCCATTCTATTAAGCTAAATTCTCATTTAAAGTAAAACAGTAAAGTAAAGTTAGTTGACAGTTAAGCAAATTAAAGGAGACCCTAATTTAATCTTCTTTGTTTTTTGTTAGGCATTACTCTTGAATAATTGCTGCCGTTCTACTGAAAAATTAACACACGTTGAAGTCCCTAAATTTAGAGTTTACGCTTAAAAAATAACAAAAAAATAACTCAATTTGTCACATTTATTATTAATTTTTGTGTCGGTGCATAAAGGCTTTATGTTTCGCACTTCCCTTGTTGGCCTGCACTTTCCCAGATCCCAGGC